CAAACGTATTTTCAAAAAATTTCATTGAAAACCGAAAATGAAAAATCAACTCTATGTTAAAAAAATATTTTCTTGAAAAATGAAATAATTTTTTATAACCAAAAGCACCTTTGGATTCTTAATGTATGAGTACATACTAGGGATGAGATTTAAAACCGGAAAACCGGAACCATTGGAACCGAAATATATAGAACCAGTTCTTATTCCGGGTTTAAAAATTGGTTTTATCCGGGTTTCAGGTAATCTGGGTTTGGGTCCATCGGGTCTGTGTAAACCAGGTCTAAGAACCGGAACCACTTTTAGAGATCGGAACCGGTTTCTATGAAAAGTTTAAAACATGCATATGTAACACCGTAAATTTCCAAAATAATTTTTCGCATTTATAAAAAACATAATTCATTTGTAAATCATAAAAACATCATTGTTTGAAACTCAATTTATAACATTTAACAATCCCAAGATCTCATAGCATAAAAATCCCGTGCGTGTACTGATCAAGCCGGCGCCTTCCCGCGATCTTCACTACTACCTGAAACACATAAGACAAAACACTGTAAGCACAAAGCTTAGTGAGTTCCCCAAAATACCACATATAACACATATTAGCCACTCAAGGCTATAACTCTGTGGGTCCGTACACCCAAACTCTGTGAACCCTCAGGTTCTAACTCTGCAAGCATGCACAACATAAATCACATAAAAGAATGCAATGCAACAAACAATATATATAAAACACTGTATCACATAACTCTATTTACCTACTCAAGGTAAAGTATAGTGAGAAGACTCACCTTGTGTATCTTGGTAACTCGTAAATCCCTGAAATCACTAGTGCTCGATCTCCCGAGCTATAGTCCTCCTATACACAAATATATCTCTAATTAACACTTTCCCAACTAGGATTGACTAACTCTATCAAGTTAACACCGATCAACTCTGGTTAATGGTCAACAGTCAACCCAACTCGCCGAGTCCCTACGAGGACCCGATTCCTCTAAACCCCTTCCGAATCACCGAGTCACTCACCCAACTCGGTTACCCAACCCCTGGTTCGAAAACACGGAATAACTCGCTCCAACTCGCCGAGTCTGCCAATGGACTCGGCGAGTGCATTCCATGCATAACCCCAAACGACCTTCTGATGTCATATCTGTTCCACTAGCTCATAGATCCAGTCTTTCCAAGCTTATTTATCACGTAAAGTTTATGTCTTGGCGCTCATATCACACCTATTGACTCATAAATGGTGTTTTAACCTCACACACAATGATCCCAAACCAAAACCTCCATATACTCATATAAAGCTTGGACAAAGAGGCACTCTGGACCTCTATGGGTCTAAATCCATAACCTAACTCGCTTAAGGGACCATGGGAGCACTAGATCTAGTCACAAAAGGGCTCAATAAGCCCTAAACCAACATGAACATCACCTCAACATAAAATGGTTCGAAAATAGTACCTCAAACGTGATGTTCTGGACCTCAAATCTTCATGAAGTTAACCCTCTTGCTTCCTCTTCGCTAAAGCTTCCTTTCCCTTGCTAGACAACACCTCCAAGGTTGATAATGGCTCCTTCTCTCACTCCAAACGCTCAAGTTCACTAGGGTTTCGCTCTGGGGGCTAGTGAGCACAAATGACGGCCATAAGGCCCTTTAAATAGGCCCCAAACCCGAGAAATTAGGGTTTCATTAAACAGCGTGGACTCGCCGAGTCCGGTCATGAAATAGAATGAACATCCGCATCCCTACTCGGCGAGTCTTGGCGCCAACTCACCGAGTTCCCTCACAAACCCCAAAAAAAATAAATGAATAATAATATACCCGAGAATCCGGATGTTATAGCATATCTCATTTGTTTTAACTCGGATTGACATATGGTTTTTTCCAACGTGTAGTTTAGAGTTTGTACATGATTTTACACTATAAATTTGTCATTTTTAGTTTTATATTAATTGATTTACAGTCTCCCAAAGTTGAGATATCAAAGCTGGAAGTTTTTAGTTTTTCCAGCTTTTTTGTATTCTGTGAAAGTTAAAATATGCATATCTATTTTGTTTGAAGTCGGATTGACATACTTTTTTCCAACTTGTAGTTTAGAGTTTATACATGACTTTAGACTATAATGATGTGATTTTTGGTTTAACATTTAATGACTTACAGTCCCCCAAAATCGGAATATCAATATGAAATTTTTTAAAGTTCAACCCACTAAGTAGTAAGTAATTACCAAAAAATTCCAGTTTTTTCGAGTTTTTCGGTTCTAAACCCACTTTATCCGGTTCCAGCCTACCGATTTTGATGTTTTCGGGTTTCCGATTCTATACCCACTTTATCCGGTACCGTATCCAGAACCGAACCGAAACCTATTCCTATATACCGGTCCGGTTCTATAAAACTCCGTTAACCGGTTTCGGGTTTTCCAGATCCGGATCCATCCGGTCTGGGTTTGGACCCACTTTGATCCCTAGTTTGGACTTACGGGATTAACTCGGTTTGGGATTGATGTATGCATATTATTGTTATTTGTTCGGAGAATTATCCCATTTAAACATATTGAGTTTGTATGTATTAGTATTACTCATCTTTATTAGCTAATTAATTATTAACTCTATTTGTTAATAGGACAAAAGTTGAAGGTGGTAGCATATTATTCATAGCAAGATTTATAAAACCAATTGTTTGATTATATGGGTCATATACCCTTTTGGTTTGTTTATATGGGTAATATGCCATTTTAGTTTATTACATGGGTTATTAAACCCTTTTATTTAAATTCCTGGATTATTACATTATTGTCTATATTCACGACGAAATAATTTTCTTGATTCCATTTTCACTATTTATGTGTTTTTTTTTTCAAGAAGTAATTGATAAATGATGGAATTATCCAAATTATTATGTTTGTAAATTACTAATTTAGACCGAATCTAACCAAGGAAGCGACGGAGTTTCTTATAATATAAAGTTAAATTACAATTTTAGTCTATGTGGTTTACACCACCTTTTAGGTTTGGTCTTAGTTTTGTGGTTTTGATACTATTGATCCTCAAGGTTGTCAATTCTATCAGAAATAGTCATTCCCTCCTTTACCGTCAAAGCTTTTCATTTAACTAAACATTATATAAACATTATATGAAACAACTAAAATGCCCTTGTGATTTACACCACTTTTCAGGTTTGGTCTTAGTTTGTGGTTTTGACACCATTGATTCTCGTGGTTGATAATTCTATCGGAAATGGTCATTCCTTCTGTTACCGTCAAAACTTTTCTTTAGCTACACATGAAACGGAATGACTAAAATGCTCGTGTTTTGTCATTTTCTAGGACTAAAAGTAATACGACTTTCTAACGTCAATGACCAAACTTGTAACTTGCTATATAAATAAAGATGAATGACAATGCCATCCGAAAACCCTCCTCTCCAGAGGCAAGTATAGAATGTAAAACATATGGTTCACTATTTAATTGAAACCGATAGAAAAAAAATATTAGTTGTGGGTTTAGATCGGATCGAATCATATAAGCAAAAAAAATCAAATTACTTTTAAAGACATTTTTCATTTTGATTTCTGAAATAAACAACAATTCACAATCAACAATCAAATAACCAAACACATAAACAACAATCAAATGATCAATTAACATTGAAATTTTGAAACAATAAAAAACCTACTATGAACTAATTGAACAATAAAAAAATACTAAGTATTACCAAACATTCAATAGCTTTGCGTTTGATTCTTATGGAATAAATATTAACAAGAAAAAGAAAAGAAAAGAAATCTAACAGTGAATTCAATTAACCCTACAACTAAATTATGAATAATTGTCTTTGTCACGAAATATTGGAATTGGGAATAGAACTTCCACATAATTTAATCAATTTTCACAAAGTTAAAAAGTATAATATATTTACCAACAATTGTAAATTGGATCGGTGATTATAAGGAATTGAAGATCGAAGGTTAACATGCTATGAAACGATTGATTTGTGACTTAATTTTTTTTTATTGTAGCTTGTATTGGACTATGAATATTGAATTATACATTAAAAGATATTGGACTATTAAACATCTAATTTAAACATTTTTTTGTTGCCAAAATATTAAGGGGGTTCATTTGCATTTTTGGTAGGTCACAATTTTTAGTTTCAAATAACTTGTTATACCAAAATATAAAAAAGGTGGGTCAAGTGACCCACCAATGTAACACATAAACTTGCCAATGCTCCTCTCCCTAACTAGTAGCTGATATTCTTTCCTCACTCTTCAGTGACCGCTTGATCTATAATTATCACTCTCTTCCCTCTCTTTCATAATCGTATCTCCGATTGATATCTTATTTCTGTTTTCTTTTCTTGCATGTAAATCCATCTTATGTGTTTTCTCCACCCTTTTCTCCGACAATCAACATATCCTCTTTATTTACATACTATCGCCATCTCAAATTCTCCTCCCACCATCAATTACAATTCAAGTTAGCATCATAGATAAAAGATGATGAGAGGAGGGACTGGTTTATCTTGACCGTGGCGGTGATGGTTGGGCTGATCTTCTTCCTCTGTCCCCTTATGCCTTTTTCCAATAAAAAAACTATGGTTCATTGGGATATGTACGGTTGGGTAAATGGGTAACTTAATCTGGTTTTGAGTTGCAAGTGGTGATAATGAAAAATGACGATGGTAGTGGTATACAATGCTATAGTAATGGCATACGATGGTGTTGATGATATACTGTAATTTTTAGTAATAATTTTAAAACATAAAAAAAGCAAAAAATATAGACATTTTAATCGTTCCATATGCACTTAACATAAAAACATTGACAGTAACCGGAATAATGACTTTTCCCCATTGCGGAATTGCCAACCATGGGGACTACTAGTGTCAAAATCCTAAAACTAGGACTAAACCTTGTTTGTGTAAACAACTGGGACCAAAATTGTAATTTACTGTAAATATAAAATATTATATTGGAGCCAGTGATTGCTGCTCTGGAAAAAGGAAATACTTTTTTCAAAAGAGCCAATATACCACCACACCGTCTCTCTCTGCAAAACTCGAATAGGCTGTGACGATAACTGTCTTCTCCTTCCCCATTTCGCATCCCTATTCTCTCTTCACACACAAACACAGCAATGGCCGCCGCATCATCTCCTCGAGAAGACAATGTGTACATGGCAAAACTCGCTGAGCAAGCTGAACGCTACGAAGAAATGGTTGAATTCATGGAAAAAGTCGTCGCCGCCGCGGACGGCAGCGAGGAACTCACCATAGAGGAGCGCAACCTTCTCTCCGTTGCTTACAAGAACGTGATCGGAGCACGGAGGGCTTCCTGGCGTATCATCTCCTCTATCGAGCAGAAAGAGGAGAGCAGAGGCAACGAGGGACACGTTGCGACGATCCGTGATTACAGATCTAAGATCGAGACGGAGCTATCGTCGATCTGCGACGGTATCCTCAAGCTTCTCGATTCGAAGCTCATCGGATCCGCGTCTAGCGGTGATTCCAAGGTTTTCTATCTGAAAATGAAGGGAGATTATTACAGGTATTTGGCTGAATTTAAGACTGGATCTGAGAGGAAAGAAGCTGCTGAGAATACACTCTCTGCTTACAAGGCGGCTCAGGTTAGGGTTTTCTCACTTTTTGCTCTAAATTTTGTTTGAAGAATTTTGTTTTTCACTGTTTCACTTGTTAGCTTTTACACTCTAAACCAGAAGTCAAACCTGAAACTATTCATTCCATGACTTGCATATTAGATTTCCGTTAAATCTTTGCCCTTTCAATCACACTTCTGTAGTTCTTCTAAAATCTAACTCTGAAAATCGAATCTCAAGTTAATACGACTCTATTGCATTCATCCAATGAAAACCGTTACACATTTTTCCATATCGGTGCTCGATTTTTCTTTCACTTTTTTTCCAAAGCAGTCAGAAAAGAATCAAGCTCTCATGGTTGCAGGATATTGCAAATGGAGAACTTGCTCCCACCCATCCTATCCGACTTGGACTTGCACTCAACTTCTCAGTCTTCTACTATGAGATCCTAAATTCACCAGATCGCGCATGCAATCTTGCAAAGCAGGTGAGCAGTAAACTGTATAAAACTTTGAATATAACTGATATTCTCAGATTCACTTGTGATTATTCTGAATTTGACTGGTTGTTTTGTGATTTGCTAGGCTTTTGATGAAGCTATTGCAGAATTGGATACCTTAGGAGAAGATTCCTACAAGGACAGCACCCTGATCATGCAACTTCTTCGTGATAATCTCACTTTATGGACTTCAGACATGCAGGTAGTTTTCTTTTTTTAATTTCAATCTTTATTCCTTACTACTTTAATTAATTAATTTATTTATCAATCTATCATATATTCATACCCAATTGTTGGTTTGAAATAATGCAGGATGACAGTGCTGAAGAAATTAAAGAAGCACCAAAGGCAGATGAGTAACAAAATTCCCTACTCAAGACCTGTTTATGGTTTGTAATTGTTTGCTTTTCGATTGAAAATGCTCTACTTGTTGCTTGAGTATCAACTCGTTAGATTTAGGAATTTAATGATTTTCTATCTTTTTTAATATCATGCTTAATTTCATCTTCCATCATTGCAAACGCTTTTTAGGTTGTGGTTTTATAAGTTAAAAAAATGTTTGTGGTTATATACTTATTATAGGTATATCGTATATGTTTCAATTATTTTTTAAATCTTTATTGTTCATTTCACACATAATTTTGGATTGCTAAAAGTACATGAATCCACCCCCTTTTTAGTGTATTGGATTTATTAGTGACAACAGTCTGTAAAGGAGTCAAATATGGTTTGACTGCTTTTCAGGAAGAGATGCACTTAATGAGTTAATGGTATGCACTTTTGATTCCTTTCTTGTGCTGCTTTACAGTTGGATGGGTTTTGGTACAACTTAAATTTACATAAAAATCACAACATTTTCAATGAATGTAGTGTGTGTGTGTGTCTGTGTATTCGTCCCCTTTCGACCAAAACAATCCATTTTAGTAAGTGCTATCATCATTTTGTTCCACTGGTGAGATACCAAATGATTTAGGAACTTCAAAAAGAATACACCAAAAAGCTCTATTTCTCATTAATCATGAGATATATGAGTATTTGAAAACGGTAAACCTTTTGTAGAGGTTTTTTGTTATAATATTAGATTTTTTCATTAAATTCATTTAACTTGATAGATGATATATATATATTTTTAATTTTTTTAATTATTTAAATTATATTTATCTGCAGTCAATGTTTTATAAAGCTATTTATTTAAGACAAAACTGCAAAAATGGTCCTTGTGGTATGCATTTTTTGAGGTTTTAGTTCAAATCATGATTTTTTTGGATTGATGGTTCTTTTGAGTTAGTTTCGTTGCTTTTTTGGTCCCTCAAAATAGTAAAATGACTGTAATACCTTTGGGGTATTTATTTTTTATTTTTTTTCATTCTTTTTAAATCTAATATTAATTTATTATTTTAATAATAATAAAAATAAGAAGGGACCCACTCTCTCTCTCTTTCTCTCTCTCCCTCTCTCCACTGTATACTCAGATGTACTTTTATTCTTCATCTTCTTCCTATTTCCTTTGCATATTTCTTTATCCTCATGTCCTAGTAGGATTAGCAAAAATTAGAGAGATTTTAAATACTAAAACCCCAAACACCAAAAGAAATTAAACCCCAAATCATCTTCACTGGGGAGATGAATATCACAGATTTAGGTTCCAGAAAGAACATCGAAAGCTAAGAAAAGATACAGAAGAAATTCAAATCTTGATTCGGGTCCAAATCTTTCTAGAATGGTCACTCAAGCTCTAGTAGCGAAGATGACATACCAGAAGCACACATTTTGATGGAATTTAGTGGACAAGTCGTTCACCGGCGGAGGAGGAAGGGTAACAAAAAATCCAAAATCATTAGCAGTCTCTCTCTCTCTCTCTCTCTCTCTCTCTCTCTAACAGATTCATTCCCACACATCCCTCACTACAATCTGAACCTCCCTAATTTGTATTTGTGTGTAGCAACAAAAGAAAATCGCATCCCATCGTTCCTAAATTGATAATCGACCGTAGCTTTGTAGTTAGTTGTGCTTCGATATCATCAATCGATTTCTTTTTTTGGATTGAATATGTTCATTTTTAATCTGATTTTAGGATTTTTCTCATTCTTGGTGTTCTTGAGTCTTTTCCATATTTTACACAAAAATTTAATGTTAGTTTAGATGGATTATTATGGGTGGAATCATCTAAACAATCGATTTGAGTATCTCCAATTGAAATTGTTTTGAGAATCAACTTTCTGGACCATTCTTATTGGTTGTTCTTCATGTGGTGAAATTGGATTGGAAGAATAATCAAATGGTTTACTCCGTTTTTCTTGATGTTGTATGCTCCAACAGATTCAAATGTCCAAATGATATGTTGGATGATTCAAGGAGTAAATTGTTGTGGAAATTTGAGATTTGATACACCGGAACATGAGGATGAAGAAATAGGAAGAAGACGAAGAAAAAAGTGTATTTGTGGGTATACAGTGTGGAGAGAGAGAGAGAGAGGTGGGCCCATTCTTATTTTTTTTATTATTAAAATAAATAAATTTAAAAAGAAATGAAAGAAAAATAGAAAATAAATACTCCAAGGGTATTACAGTCATTTTACTATTTGGAGGGACTAAAAACGCAATGAAACTAGCTCAAAAGGACCACCAATCCAAAAAAATCGTGGTTTGGACTAAAACCCCAAAAAATGCATACACAGAGACTATTTTTGCAATTTTGTCTTTATTTAATTTGATACTTTTAAGCCGCAAACATAACTTAAAGACAAAATTGCAAAAATGGTCTCTGTGGTGTGTATTTTTTTGGGGTTTTAGTCAAAACAATAACTTTTTTGGTTTCGTGATCTTTATGAGTTAGTTTCATTGCGTGTTTGGTCTCTCTGAATGATGAAATGACTGTAATACCTTGAGTTATTTATTTTTCATTTATTTCATTTTTTAAAAATCAAAATACTTATTTATTTATTTAACTAATTAAAAATAAATAAAAGTCTCTCTCTCTCTCTCTCTCTCTCTCTCTCTCTCTCTCTCTCTCTCTCTCTCTCTCTCTCTCTCTCTCTCTCTCAAGAAAAAGTAAAAAAAAACACACACTCCACCCCACTTCTTCTTCCCCAACCCATTTTGTTTATCTTAAACTTCACCCATCTAATCTACAATCTCGTGAAGCCTTACTCTTCTTCCTGTGCTTCTTTTCCGGTGAACCACTACCATTACCTCACTTTCCTTAATCTTTGTTGTCTGCTATGCATGGGAATCCATCCAACCCATTCTTTCTCCGACATCAACAACCCCAAGGTCACCAGACCTATTTTTTGATGTTGTATTACCAGCAACACTGATGTGTACTAAATCAGAGTGTAGATTCCAAATTAGAGTTTTTTGTTTAGTTTGAATCTGAACCTGCATTGGAGCCACTACTTGTAACCTAGATTTGATGGTGATTTGTCATTGCAAGATCAATTGGTGTATTTCACCATCGCAGTAACTGAAACTGAGAAACAGAAGCGAGAGTAATGGTGAGGGGTGGTCGACGGGGATGTTACAGCCGGCCAATGGGAGCGATGATGGTGCAGGTGGGTGTGTACATGTATGTGTGTTTTTTTCAATCATCTACAGTTCTTTTAGCTCGTTCAAGCTCTTTCTAGGTTAAATGGAGCTTTGTTCCTTCAACAATAACCTCAGCATCTATAAACAATAAAGTAACAGGATTTGGTGGGTCTATACTCTAGTAACCAATTTCAACATGCTTTTGGAGTCTAGATTGGAAATCGGAGTTTGTTTAGTTTGAGTCTACACTGATCATCAAATTAAGTAGCGTTTTCCAGGAGGGTGTTCAATCCACCATCATAAACTCACAGTGGGGGAAATAATGAAATCAATTGGGTTTTAGTCTATTGATTATTGATTTGGGCTCTCTTGGTATGAGTATCAGGAATGAGGTTTGCGAGTTTAAGGGAAGACGACCAAAAAGAAAAAGAAAATGGAAAGAAAGACTTTTACTTTTTTTAATTAGTTAAATAAACAAGTATTTAGATTTTTAAAAAATGAAAGAAATGAAAAATAAATAACTATGGGGTATTACAGTCATTTCACTGTTCAAAGGGACCAAAAACACAATGAAACTAGCTCAAAAGGACCACAAAACCGAAAAAGTCGGTGTTTGTACTAAAACCCAAAAAAAATGCATACCACAAGGACCATTTTTGCAATTTTGTCTAACTTAAAACATAACCAATTTTATTTTTTGGGTCCTTGTCGCTGCATGAGTGGTAGCTCACGCTCAAAAGTCCCAAGAGAGTTCCCCGGCTTCTTGTGATGAGCGCAGCGCATCAAACGTTATCTATAGATAAGAACGAATCGGATCGACTCGACTGATATGATAGATGGAATGGGGATGGTATAGTTATAAAAGTAAAATATATTATATTATATTTTATGTATATAATATTTTATAATAGAGATTAAAATAATATAGTATATAATATTTGATAAAATAAATAGATTAAAGTTTTTAAGTTTAATTATGGAGTTTTAACCTCATTGAACATTGAAGTTTTAAATTATTACTATTTGACCATTAAAGTTTTAATCATGCTAATAAAGTTCTTAAAATTCTATTTTTGTCACAACAAAAGCCATTAAGACAAGCTTTAACAGGTTTGCAGGCGTAACATCCTTTGGTAGGGCCTATTTAGGTTTGCAGGCGTAACATCCTTTGGTAGGGCCTATTTGAAACCCTCTTTAAGAAAATTAAGTTTTTTAAGTCAGAATTTAATTCATAATTAAGTTTGCAAAAATAAAAAAAAGTTTCAAAACATAACATTTTAAAAGTTGAGGTAGAGAGGTTGTTAACAATTCAAATATCAATAACATTCACTCAAGCTCACCACACAAGTTTTGGTGTTCTCAACATCCATGCTAACTCTTCTACGCATGATTCAATCTTCAACCTGACGTCAAAACTTGTTAGACAATTATTGATTTGCAGAGTAGATTCATTTTGAGTGAGGAGATAGCCATAAATTCATTTTTGTTTTGAGAATGTTTTAAAAAATGTAGAAGTTTTGTTATCAAATTCTTATCAACATTGCCCAAAAAGACCTCATAATTAAATTAAAATTCTTTCTTGAGTAAATTACACGTATGGTCCCTATGGTTTAGGGTAATTTGCGCATTGGTCTCTAACTTATTTTTTTTAACGTGGAAGGTCCCTATTTTGTTTTTGTTATACGATTGGTCCATGTCTTATCTAAAAAAACTATTTTTTTTACTGATTTTTTAATTTAATTAAATAAACACACCTCCATCCCACTCACTCACCTTACCTTACCTATTCTATATTTTTTTTCCTATTTAAATAATAGTATTTTTAGGTAAGATAGAGACTAAACGCGTAACAAAAACAAACAGTAAGGACCAAACACGTAACAATAACAAACAATAAGGACCTTCCGAGTTAAAAAAATAAGTTAGAGACAAAGCACACAAATTAACCCAAACCATAGGGACCATTCTTGTAATTTATTCTTCTTTCTTTCAAAATAAAAAACTCCCAAACGTTTTTAGGGATTTCATAACAAAGATCTTTTCGAAACAAATTCTAATATATCTGATTTTAATATTTCCAAAACAGCTTAAGCGAAATAATGTGGGATTTATTAACCAAAAACAAATCAAGGGTTTACAACCCAAAATCAATAAACCAATCTTAGATCAATATTCTTAAGTAATTTAAAATCAAGACTCTACATACCAGATAAAACAAACAAAAGTGTCATAATTATTTAAGAAATAAACGATCGTGTGTTATAATTATTTTTGGGATCAGAAAAAGAATACTTAAGTTCATATAGTCTTTATCAATAAAATTTTGTCTATGATGACTTTGATAAAAGTTTACACTCGCCTGATGTTCTAAATGCTCATAAACCACCAGGTTAGCCAATTCATAAGTTAGTATTAACAGTTGGTTAGCCAATTCATAAGTTAGTATTAACAGTTGGTGTTCCAGTTACGTTAGTAAGAAATATTAATTTGAAATGCATTTTTGTAAAATTGAACGGGTCTATAGGTTATAGTATAGGTTATAGCATTGGGTAAGCAT